AATGAAATACCATAGAAGGTACTGGCAGACCTTGTGTTCTTTAGCCACGAACCTGTACGGTACTATGAGTTGACAATATATATATATGTATATATATATATTGAGAATCGGGTATCACAAAATGAATGTTTTCGCACTTTGTACTTCAAGAGTTTTTCCTTTTTTTACCATTATTATTTTTTTAACGATTCATTAAACTAAGCCTACTCTTTACTTGTCATGGGTTCTGGAACATTCTGCATGATAAATTAAAGATTTTACTCCCAGACCCAATGTATAATCTATATCCACTACTGGTCCCATCTGTTCTTAAAAATTCCAGTTCCTTATGCTGTTTACACTCATGAAACAATAACCACATTTAGCTTTCTTTATGCTGTTCACACTCGTGAAACAAGAACCACATTTAGCTATCAATATAATATTATTCATGTGTTCATCTCTCCAATCTTAACTCATACAAAGAAGAATACACGTTAGCATGAAAAACACTAAAACATACCAGCAAGAGGGTCTCGATTTAGGCCTAACTTGTTAATGATGTATTGTGGTATATCTGTCTTGATGCCTTGAGCTACCTTAGCCTGTCCTTCCACAGCTTCTAGCAGTCGGTAGAAATCTTCAGGATCAAACTCCTACAAATACAGAAAAACTTAAAATGGTCCCATATTTTCCATCTGTTATTCTATTTCCATCCTCCATTAACATGCATTTGTTGTCCAACATAAAATATCAATAGATTACAAAGATTTATTTCATTTAAACTACAAACACCATCTGTACCAGAACAGTACCACCTCTGTAACATTATCATCCCCATCAAATCTCTAGTGTTAAACTTACCAAGCACTCCAGTAGCCGAGCAGGTCTTGACACAATCAGTAACAATTTTTTGATTAGGTTTTTGATATGACTGGCCGCCATGGAAGACTTTTCACGACACTAAAATAATAATAATTATTTTAAACCACAATCGTAAGTAAAATACCATTAATGTTGAAGGATATTTTGTGATTTTAAAAAGTACTTACAATGAAAAACATACTTTTACTCATAAATAACAGTAAACATATCTGTAAATATAAATACATTAATTATAACTTTATACCAAAAACAGTAAACATATCTGTAAATATAAATACATTAATTAT